GCTACCAAAACTGTACTTGAGTAAAAGTAAATAGTACACATGAAAAATACCACTCAGAGTACTAGTTGAGAGATGCTTTTATACTAAACTTCATCAATCAAAACTGTATTTAAAACAGGCCAATCAGAGCTGGTGATGCAGTAATATCATGGGCTGAGGTAGGAAGTATTTGTACTTTTCAGAGTACTACAAGTGACAAAAGCTTTACGTTGACAAAATGAAATTATATGAACATTTGTGTTTGTTGTAGCGCTCTCATTTTTGTCTGTGTCTTCGAAAATATCAGATTTTGTGCATAATTTCATGTTTTGTTCTTCAGATTACAGAGGCTGGGACTTGCAAGTCAGACTTGAGTCACTATTTTTAGGACTTGAGACTTGACTTGATAGAATGGACTAAGACTTGGGACTCGACTTGGACTTGAAGGTCAGTGACTTGGGACTTGACTCTGACTTGAGGCCTGTGACTTGAGAAGCACTTTTACATCTGAATTCTTTCTATTCTGGCTGTAATGATTTACTCTAAGTTCTTGTCAAGACATTTAAAAAGGAAAATATTTCATTTCTACAACCCTTATATACTCTTTAAATACTCATACATACAGTATATACTATGATTTTAAAAGTACGATTGATCTTAAAATTCATATTAACTGCAAAAATCTAAGCTATATTTGGTACTTTGGTTTAAAGACCTGAAATGACTTGAAGCTCAAAGAAAATGACTTGGACTTGACTTGGACTGCTGCACTGATGTCTCATGGGGGACCAGGTTGCACTTGTTTTTTTACAGTTTGTTACTATAATATATTGTGATGTGTGAGCTACTGTGTCCAAATTATTATTTTTATTATTATTTTATTTTATTTATTTATTTCGGTCACAGGTATATTTTGACATTAATTCATAAACAGTCATATTTAACATATACAGACCGAAAAGGTGCAGGCTGAAGCTTAAGCTTATTATGCCTTTACCCTTTATTCCTTTGTCAGAGCTTCATCTTGACACCAGTTCATCTTCATAAATACAGCAGGAAGAAACAAGCAAATCAGTAACAGAACAACAAAGTTTACAGCACAAACTAAGTCTCATATTTCATGTATCTATCCAGAGTTAAACATTTAAACTTCTTTATGAAGTGAAAGAAAGTGGTGCACAATTTTAGGTTTTCTGTACAGTTGTTCCAGAGCTCCACCCTTTAACAGATTTACAAAATTTCATAATGTTTGTTCTGATTTTCTTTTTAATAAACATGGCCGTACCTCTGAGCTCATATTGGCTCTTTCGGATTTTGAACATGTTCTGTAACGATTTCGACAGGAGATTGTTGTTTACTTTGAACATGATTTTAAGAGTGTACAGGTCGACTAAATCATAAAATTTCAGCGTTTGAAGGTTTATAAATAATGCATTGGTTGGTTCGTTATAAGTTGATAATGTGATTGCTCTTATTGCCTTTTTTTGTAGGGTAGGCAAATAATTTCCCTTGTGGATCAATAAAGTTTGTCTAAGTCTAAGAACAATATTTGGCTACTCTATCCACCAATGGTTGTGTTTGCAGTCAAAGAAACGGCAAAAACTGCAGATTCAAGTAACAAAAACGACTTTATTTAAACGTTAAACATATTTAGATGAAGTAAAGTAGTGTACGATATCATGCAACAGAGCACAGTTTGAAGAGCAGTCATACAGAGTGATCTGAAAATAATAATATCAAATAATGGCAAAGCCTAATAAATAATAACTATATCATGTACAAAACATTACAGTAACTATACAAAAGGACGCAAACTCTGCTCATTTGTCAGTCTGTCAATATTAGAGGCAGTGAATGCAAAACAGTCATCCCATGTTGTTTTTACACGTTCATTTGACATTTGCACTTTTTGGATAGCTTTGTAAAGTATCTAAAATATATATATATATGTAAAAGTATTAAAGTGCCTATGACAGGTTGGACTATTCATTATTGTTGTAGTACTCAAGACTGGTCTTGTCTGAGTTTGGACTCGGTTTTGTCTCGGTCTCGAGGTCTGACACTAGACGATAAAATTTAGATTGATTTATAAAAACATTGATATATATATGTGCCAAAATTACTGTAAAATACAAAAAAAATGACAAAGATGGTCTTGATTTGATCTCGATGGGCCCTGGTCTCAGTCTTGCTTTGGTCTCGGCCTTTAAAAGTCTCAGTCTTGTCTCATCTCAGCTTTTAAAAGTCTCACTCTTGTCTCGGTCTTGGGCTTTAAAAGTCTCAGTCTTGTCTCATCTCAGCTTTTAAAAGTCTCACTCTTGTCTTGGTCTTTAAAAGTCTCGGTCTTGGGCTTTAAAAGTCTCGGACTTGTCTCAGTCTCAACCTTTAAAAGTCTCAGTCTTGTCTCGGTCTCAGCCTTTAAAAGTCTCAGTCTTGTCTCGGTCTCAGCCTTTAAAAGTCTCAGTCTTGTCTCGGTCTCAGCCTTTAAAAGTCTCAGTCTTGTCTCGGTCTCAGCTTTTAAAGTCTCACTTTGCCTTGGTCTTTAAAAGTCTCGGTCTTGGGCTTAAAAGTCTCAGTCTTGTCTCAGTCTCAACCTTTAAAAGTCTCAGTCTTGTCTCGGTCTCAGCTTTTAAAAGTCTCACTCTTGCCTTGGTCTTTAAAAGTCTCGGTCTTGGGCTTTAAAAGTCTCGCTTGTCAGTCTTTTAAAAGTCTCAGTCTTGTCTCGGTCTCAGCCTTTAAAAGTCTCAGTCTTGTCTCGGTCAGGCTTTAAAATCTCACTCTTGTTGTCTTTTAAAGTCTCAGTCTTGTCTCGGTCTCAGGCTTTAAAATCTCACTCTTGCCTTGGTCTTTAAAAGTCTCGGTCTGTCTCGGTCTTGGGCTTTAAAAGTCTCGGACTTGTCTCAGTCTCAGCCTTTAAAAGTCTCAGTCTTGTCTCGGTCGGCCTTTAAAAGTCTCAGTCTTGTCTCGGTTTTTAAAATCTCGGTCTTGTCTCAGCCTTTAAAAGTCTCAGTCTTGTCTCGGTCTCAGCTTTAAAAGTCTCACTCTTGCCTTGGTCTTTAAAAGTCTCGGTCTTGGGCTTTAAAAGTCTCGGACTTGTCTCAGTCTCAGCCTTTAAAAGTCTCAGTCTTGTCTCGGTTTCGGCCTTTAATAGTCTCGGACTTGTCTCAGTCTCAGCCTTTAAAAGTCTCAGTCTTGTCTCGGTCTCAGCCTTTAAAAGTCTCACTCTTGCCTTGGTCTTTAAAAGTCTCGGTCTTGGGCTTTAAAAGTCTCGGACTTGTCTCAGTCTCGGCCTTTAAAAGTCTCAGTCTTGTCTCGGTTTCGGCCTTTAATAGTCTCGGTCTTGTCTCAGCCTTTAAAAGTCTCAGTCTCGGCCTTTAAAATCTCGGTCTTGTCTCGGTTTCGACCCTCAGAGGTCTCGGTCTTGTTCTAGTCTCAGGACCCTGTGGTCTCGGACAGGTCTTGGTCTCGATTAGTGCGGTCTTGACTACAACACAACTATTCATTCAAGATCTTTATATTTAAGTTATTTTCAAAAACATTCATACTCATCATCAAGTTTAAAGAATCAGAAAAAAAAAAAGTTTCTTGTGCGTAAATTGTGCTGAACGTTTGGACAGAAATCTCCCTACTGTAATGTCATCAGTGTGTTTCAGAACCAGGCCCGTCAACAGAAATGTAAGGGCTCGGGGCAAGAAGCCTGACACGTAGTTTACGTCACTCAGTTCAGATATTTTTTGTTGTCCCAAGAGTCAAAAAACAAATAGGAAAACACTCATTTAATATAAAGTTCCTTCTAATTGGAACACTCTTCCCTCATCGATTCATGCATTAACTTCTGTCCTGTTATTTAAAAATGCTCTGGTGCAAAATTTACAGAACCCGTGTATTTGTTTTTGATTATTTTGTTGAATTTTGTTGTTCATCTTGTTGTATTTTGTGACTATATTTGAATTCTGTCTTAGTTTTAGGTTCAAATTTGATTTAATATGTGTCAAACAGTCAAGTGCGAGTGAGTGTGGTTGTGTTGATTTAGTTGTTTTGATGTTTATTTTGATTAATAGGCAGCGGTTCCACTTCTGGACCCCTGAGATCCTGCAACCCTGGGACAACAGACCCTTCTGACCGTATATTTGTGTCTGAAATCAAGAATAAATAAAAATTACAATCATAACAGCGCTACCAAATGCAATAAAAGAAGACGTCTGAATGTAGTTGTGTTTTGACCAGGTAGTTTTCAGTATAATTGTCAGTGTTGTTCATAATTAAAATGAGTAAAAGCAATAAGTATTTAACAATATGTAAAAGACAAAATATAATCTACATTTACTTGAAAAATAGGAAAACATTCAAAGCGTTTTCACCCTACGTTGACGTTAAATCGCCTTTCTGACTTTCTGTTCAGTTCATACTATGCTCTCTGCTGCTATCTAGTGGCAGAGGCACGCACTTGCAAATGAAACATACTTTTACACATACTTTTTACCAACTCTAACACCTTCTCCTGATCTTTTTTTTATCATTCTACACCTTCCAGTCCAAAGTAAATCTGAGCAAAAGACCACATTTTATTTTTTAAGGGCTCCATGAATGTGTTATGTGACAGCGTTTCAGTTTCAGTGGTGGATGAAGTACTCGGTTTTGTTACTTAAAGGCGCATTGCGTAACTTTTGTGGTGGCGCTGGTGTCATTGCTGTGCCTGAAATGTTCCGCAGTATGACATTAAACAGCTCTACTTTATGTTTATTTAATTACAAGTGGTTTTACAGCTCAAAAATACCTAGAAAAACATTCATTCTGACTGTGCGGGGTCGCTTCTCCACAGGTCTGACCTGCAGCTTGCTCTGGTTTGGTCTCCATGACGATAGAAAGGTTTAACTGTGAAACATTCCAGACAAAGCAAAAACATCTTCACGGGAAAAAAAAACTAATTACGGATGGAAAAAGTTACACAAGGCAAGTAAATGTACAGATAAAGACGCAAAAAGTTACTCAAGTAAAAGTAATCACATGAGAAAATCTACTTAGGTAAAAATATTAATGTACAAGTTTAAATGGCGTAGATCCCTTACACTCTGTTGGTAATCTTCTCCATTTGCATAAAATTGGGCGTCACTGTTTTAGTCCCATAAATACATTATATTAAGCTTCTTATTATACACTGCATTAAATGTGCGTTACACCAAAAATAGTTCAAAAACAATGTCCAATTTCACATTTTTAACTCTCCATTAAACAAAATGGATTCTTGTGAGTCTTATGCCACGTTATAATGTTGTTACCTCCTCAAAAACAAACCTAGAGTTTTTGTTTCATTCACACGTTTGAGTAACTCTTTATTATTAGTCAGTCTACCAGAGGCGGCGCGATCATTAGGCAAAAGTAGGCGGCTACATAGGGCCTCGAAACCTGGAGGGGCCCCCAACCAACTTAGCCTGATTCATCAGCCGGTTTCACTTCGTAGAAACCGTCTGACCTCGCAGCATTAGGATTCATTCGCTTGACAGTAGATGGGTACATTTTTCATTTAACCAATCGCTGCTGTTGGGTCGTAATGTATGTAATGTAATCCCGGAGGAAAAAGGGCAATAACATCTTTCCCCTTGATAAAATTCACCAAACATTCTCTTTGTTCCGGCTTTAAATCCTCAATCTCGGGAATCGTTGCCAACACAGAATATGGACGGCTCTTTGCTGATTGGCTGGTGCCCGAACTCGTACTTCAGTTTTTTTTGCGAACCGTCTAGTGTATTCTGATTCCTGACCTAGTCGCTGGAGCCGAGGCCTCAGAGCAACTTGATTTTCTCTCAATATGACATTAAATGAGAGTAGTTTACTTTTAAACAAGAATCATATGAAAAATAATAATAATAATCATATGTAATGGACGTAAACGAAAATGTAATTGTACTAGAAAAAAAATACAACTACTTTCAGTTCTGGTTATCCAGTAGGCGACTTAACTAATAAGACAAGTTTCCAATCCACCATTAATTCAAATAAATAGAGATGTGCGTGTCTCAAGAACAATGCGTAAAAACAGACAATAAATATATTAAAAACAAACAAAACTAAACAATACAGTGCATTATAGTGAGGGCCCCAAACTCAATTTCACCTAGGGTCCCCAAAATTGCTAACTCCGCCACTGCTATGTACGTCTCCAAAGCTCAAAATGTGCTTCTCCACCTTGTGATGTCATGAAGTGGTAGTTTTCGAGTCAACAGCTACGTTTTAACCTTTAGTTCAGTCGAGATCGGCAATTCCATCTGAAATAACCCAAATGGTTCTAGCGGAGGTGTATGGAGTTTAAAAACACAGTAAAGCACTTATATTTGTATTACCGCATGACATCACAAGGTGGAACAGAGTGTTTTCAGTCTGACAGAAGAACTCAGCCGTAATATGCAGGATGAAGAAGTGTGAATGAAACAAAAACACGACTCTGAGGTATGTTTTTAGATCAGAAAATAGCGTAATATGGGCCGTATAATCTCGTAAACCTCAAAGTCTTCAGTCTAGACACTAGAATCGCTGCTTTTCCGTGTCGTCTCCTTTGCCGTCGGAAACTGAAATCTTTTTAAAAAGTTAAACAAAAGTCCGCCTGGCTCGGTTTTCATTTTTGCATTATTAGACATGTTAGAATCACTCTGCTCGATTTCCGCGAATTCCTGAGCGTCGTCTTGTAACGTACTTTCTTCTTTCTGAGTCCCTTCAAAGTCGCCGCCTTTTTTCTTGGGTGTCCTAGGGGGCGATAGCGTACACCCGTCTTCAACCTCGTCCGTTTTGGGAACTTTGGGCGGCAAAGTATGGCGCCTCCCGATATTCCTTTGCGTCGGCGATGGCGGGCCAGTCAGCAGCATCGCTAAATCTTCGTCGTTCGGATCGTCCATGTAACTTTGTATGTCTTCGTCGATGGTGCGCTGCCGCTGGATGGGAGATCTGGGTTTTTCCGAGGTACTTTCCACGGACGAAACACTGCCGCGGCTGTTCTGGAATTTCAAAACCTTTTTCGAAACTTCCCGTAATTTCTCAGCCTCTTCGGCGGTGTTGTCCTCGAAGTTTTCATCGTTGCTTTCTATGCCAGACGTTGGTCTAGAAGAAACGCTCTTGGTTCTACTGGAAGAATCTGTTTGAGAGTCTTTAGCTACGACAAATTCCGATTTTTCTGTTAAAGTTAGTTTTTTTTCAGTATTCTTCGGTTTATCGGTAATATCCGCTGCCGAATTCCACTCTTTCTTGCCCAATTCCTTAATCTTTAAACGGGGACTTCTATTGGCGATAGCGTTGGGTATATTGTCTTGCGAAGAGATCTCGACGAGGCTGCCGTTGAGGGGGCTGCCGTTGGGCGGGGTGCCGTGAGTAGAAAATGGACGCCCCGCTTTCCTCCGGATGCCCCGCCTGCTGACGAAGCTGTGGAGCACGGACTCTAGGGAGACCCCGCCCAGCTCTTTGTCGTGGGTGGAGCAGGAGGCGATGGAGCGGCGTTTCAGGGCGGTCTGGAGTCTCTCCGCGTGGCGACGTTTCATTTCGGTCACCTCGCGCGCTTTGTTTTCCTGTGAGGGAGAAACGAAAAGAGGGTTTATGCTGTGACAGTGTAGAGAAATGAACAGGACATTTCAGCGACTCAAACACACAAAATAACAGCACATATTTACGCTTGTTACGATAATTACTACACTACTTTACTGTACTACTATATCGGACTTTGTTCAATACGTGACAGATGGAACAGTCATTTTTGGAGCTCAATATTTATCATAATACTTTTTCTTTGTACTTGCGGGGAACTTTTTGTTATTTTTTTGGAAACTTTTCTGAAGATCTGAGCTGTAGACGGTTGAATAAATAACTTCTATGACTCATTAAGCTAAACTCAAATTCACAGAGGGTCAAAATTAAAAACTGGGACTAAGTCGTGGGCCAAACAAAATATTTATTGAAAAGTTTCAACAACATCTGCATGTTTTCTCTTCTTAAACCTTTTCTTAATAAAATAAATGTTTAATAATAGTTTTGCTTAAACACTGAATCCAGGACAAGCATAATATAAAAGAATAACGATTTTTAAAATAAATTATGTCTATAGTCTATCTGTAGCCAGCAGGACAGCTCCAAAACATTTTGATATGATCTCGCGGGCCAAACATAATTATATTGTGGACCAAATTTGGTCCCAGGGCCTGAGTCCATATATTTATTTCATATTTTTTATTTATTTCATATATTTATTGAATGTTCTTTAACAAAACTGTACATAAAGAATATTTTTTGTGGGAAATCATGTGTCAAAATAACATTCTTTCTTATCGTCTATGTTTTCTTCACCAATGTGTCGTACTTCAGAATTTGTTATGATAAGAGACCTACACTATTTATATTGTGTTGGCAAGCTTTTCTATTATAACAGCTTATAGAAGACTACTGAAAAAAAAAAAAAAAGTGGAGAAAATCATGCAGCACAACACATCAGCACAAAGGCCCAATGACACTATTGAATACAAGTAATGGGGATTGATTCAAGTATCCTAGAACGAATACTTAATAATAAATAATAACAATAATGCACTGGATTAATATAGTGCATTATTCATTTACTCCACAGCTGTAGCCACGACACAGCTGCCCTGGGACAGACTGACGGAAGAGAGCAATGTTTCCCGCAGCACTTTATAGTTAGGGTGGCTGCCTTGACAACGAGTGGCCCCCGCCTTGACCTTGCCTAATCAGTTTTCTGCGGGAAACACTGGAGATTCTGCCAATCTGTGCCATCCAACCACCACCAACAGCACTTACGCACACCACAACCTTCATACTAGACAATGTGGATGAAAAGTCTTGCCTAAGGACACAACAACAGCTGGCATTACAGGTATACTCAGTTGTCTCCCGTCCAAATACAAAACCAGGGCCGGCTTCAGTAGCATGACACTGCAAAACCCGGGAATCCCTCCTCCAAACCCTGTTCTTTGTGTACCTGGGTGTATGTTCGGTCTTTGAAATGGATTACGTGATGTGTGGTTGTTTTCATGTTCCCAAACTCTATTTATAGCCAGTAGCCACAACTATCCGCTATAAGTGCCCTGGCGTCCATGTGAACCACAGGCTGGACCGGAGGGACAACAGTAAAGCTCTGTACAAAGAGAACATGAGGAGACTCTACTTCCTAAACTTCATAGAAAAGCTCAGGGCTTTTCCATGTGTGCAGCAAGTTCCTAGAGATCTTCTACCGGTCTGTGGAGGCCAGCGCTCTGGACGTCGCTGTGGTCTCCTGGGCGAGTACAGGGGAGTAAAATGGACTTTGGGCGGATTGACAAACTGACCCATAAAGCTGGTCATGTGAAAACCGCTCATCACTGACACTCCTGCTCACCCACTGCACCAGACTATAGAGGGACAGATAATACTCCCTACAACTGTACAACAACTCACCCACTGCACCAGACTATAGAGGGACAGATAATACTCCCTACAACTGTACAACAACTCACCCACTGCACCAGACTATAGAGGGACAGATAATACTCCCTACAACTGTACAACAACTCACCCACTGCACCAGACTATAGAGGACAGATAATACTCCCTACAACTGTACAACAACTCACCCACTGCACCAGACTATAGAGGGACAGATAATACTCCCTACAACTGTACAACAACTCACCCACTGCACCAGACTTATAGAGGGACAGATAATACTCCCTACAACTGTACAACAACTCACCCACTGCACCAGACTATAGAGGGACAGATAATACTCCCTACAACTGTACAACAACTCACCCACTGCACCAGACTATAGAGGGGGACAGATAATACTCCCTACAACTGTACAACAACTCACCCACTGCACCAGACTATAGGACAGACATGTCAAACTCAGGTCCGGGGTCCAGATTTGGCCCGTGACATAATTATATTTGGCCCGTGAGATCATATCAAATATGGATCAGAGCTGCCCACTGGCTACAGATAGACTATAGAGACATTATTTATATATTTTAAAAAAAATGTTATTATTTTATGTTATGCTTGTTCTGGATTCAGTGTTTAAGTAAATCTATCATTAAACATTTATTTTAATAAGAAAAGATTTAACGTTACACATCTCAAAAGAAGAGAAAACATGCAGATGTTATTGAAATTTCTCAATAAATATTTAATTTGGCCCATGACTTAGTCCCAGTTTTTAATTTTGGCCTCTGTGAATTTGAGTTTGACAACCCTGCTATAGAGGGACAGTTAATACTCCCTACAACTGTACAACAACTCACCTTTATGTAACAGATAATACTCCCTACAACTGTACAACAACTCACCTTATGTAACAGATAATACTCCCTACAACTGTACAACTCACCCTTATGTAACAGATAATACTCCCTACAACTGTACAACAACTCACCTTATGTAACAGATAATACTCCCTACAACTGTACAACAACTCACCTTTATGTAACAGATAATACTCCCTACAACTGTACAACAACTCACCTTTATGTAACAGATAATACTCCCTACAACTGTACAACAACTCACCTTTATGTAACAGATAATACTCCCTACAACTGTACAACTCACCTTTATGTAACAGATAATACTCCCTACAACTGTACAACAACTCACCTTATGTAACAGATAATACTCCCTACAACTGTACAACTCACCTTTATGTAACAGATAATACTCCCTACAACTGTACAACTCACCTTTATGTAACAGATAATACTCCCTACAACTGTACAACAACTCACCTTTATGTAACAGATAATACTCCCTACAACTCACTCTTATGTAACAGATAAGGACAGACTGTATTTATATTACTTTTTTAAAACTTATATTTATATTACTATATTTCTATTTTTTACATATACGTTTATATAATTATGTCTCTTGATATTTTTATTGCTACTTATTTGGAAGTTGTATTACTATTTTTATATTTTTTTACTCTTTGTTACTGTAATATAAAGTGATGCGTGAGCTACTGTGTCCAAGTAATTTCCCTTGTGGATAAATAAAGTTTAAGCATAAATCCTCAGTATGACACAGTGGTTGCGTTCAAATTACAGTGGATTAAAACCAAAACCAAAGTGACGGAGCGGAGAGCCCCACCTGTATGGCCCGGATGAACCTCTGGCAGAAGGAGTGGAAGATGGAGCAGCATTCCTCGAGTTTAAACTTGCTGGGATCCTCACAGAAATACTCGGCCACAGAGTCACTGAGCGAGGACAGCTCCTGGAGATCTGCCTCCATGTCCCGCAGGCTCACCTCCGCCTCCTGCACCAGGAAATTTCATGCTTATTTAACTTTGTACAACTGATTAAAACATAACAATTGCTGTGCTTCCTGTTTAATTGAACTGCAGGGATAAATGAGTGATACAAATCGAATCTTGAGCCATGTTATAAGGTTTTACTTCATTATAAACAGAGCCTATTGTGATCTGGCTCCAAAGAAAATAGTTTGGCAGATAAACCACTCCTAGTTTTCCATCCTCTCTCAGGCTATGTTTATATGTCACTTATATCACTTTTTATTCCGCGTTTAGGGCCTGTGAACGCTTGCAGGTAAAAACGACAAAGTATTTTATCAGAAGTGGCTTTCGTTTAGACCACAGGTGTCAAACATACGGCCCGGGGGCCAGATGCGGCCCTCCAAGACCTTTAATCTGGCCCTCGGCTGATTTTCTACTCAAAATATTTTAATTCTATTTTTTATTAAAATCTTGTTAATTTTCTGTGGTGTTTATCACAGCAGCGTCTCCAGCGTCTCTGTACGTGGCCCCTCCCACCAGAGCAGCACAAATGAAGACTTGTCTCTTTCCAAACGCTCTTAAAGGACGATCGTTTTGACTGTTGACCGTGACACCCTCATCAGAAAAATGTCCAACATGAGAAAAGTGGAGCCGAGTGCAGGATTTTACAACAAAAATTGACTTATTCCTGTTTACATACAAGTTCATGTTAAAACATTGTGTTGAAATTGGATTTTTCTTAAAGTTTCAGTTTGTTCATAATATTATAATATTTTGTAAAAGAAAGAGTTCATCAATTAAAAAAAGATTTCTGTAATAAATTTGTGTTTCTCTGCACAAATATTTGAACTTATTGTTATTTTTGGGCTTTATATGACATCCGGCCCCTTTGGATCAAAGTCGGTTGAATACGGCCCCCGGACCAAAATGAGTTTGACACCCCTGGTTTAGACGGTGAAGGCGTTTTTGGGGCTTAAAAATGCAAAAATCTAAAACCACCTCAAATTCCAAATTTTGCGTCACCGTATGCACTTCCGATAAAATATTTTGTTGTTTTTACCCGCAAGCGTTCTCGTGTAAACAGGCCCTCAGTAAAAACATGGGATGCACCGATACAATACTGGTATAGTTTTTCATAGAGCCGATATCAGTTCCAAAATATCGTTTTGGTCAATAAACTATTTTAATGACACTCAAAACGTCTTGTAACATAAACACTTTTTAATTTTAAATGATAAGTAAAAGCTGCAAAATACATAGGATTTTTTTCCATTAGATAGAAGTGTTTAATGGAAAGAAATTCCAGGATCAGCAAATACTTAACACAAAAGTTCTGAAATAGGTATCGTATCGTATCGTATTTATGTTCATGAAATGTTAAAGAGAGCTGAAAACTGTAATGAATCAATTTTTGTGTGTGTTTTTCTTTCATATGATTAGAGTGTGTAAAACAGGTTTTGTTGATTCTCTAATTTCCACTTAATTTGGTAGAATAAAACCTGTTGTAAATATAAACTTATAGTTTTACACCAACTGAGAAGCAGTTTGTGAAGTAGAGAGTTCTATTTTAGAGACACACTGATCACACTGGGAGATTTTTATCAAAAAAATTATACACAATTTAATTTTGAACATGATTTCAACTAAATAAAGGTGTTTTTGTGAATTTTTATTTGTTAAAAAAGATTTTCTGCTACATAATTACATACATAGTTTTAGACCACTGTATATGAACAGTTGTGGAATGTGATGAGAAAGTAAAATTTGAAACCTAAAAAATGGCCAGACTGGGAAAGAAAGCGTAAAATGTTTTGTAAAATCTTAAATATAATGATTTTAACTGTGTTTTAGTAAAATGTGTAGCCCAATCTGTCATATGGATTTTAATTTCTTAATAAAAGAATTCAGTCTCCAAAATCACCTCTAGAAAGTCCTCCATCTGCTCCTTTAGATCCTTCTGCTTCGCTGAATCCTCTTTGGCTTCTTGAACTTTTTTCACCTGCCGCGCAAACTCCGCTTCAATGTCGGCTTTGTTCATTCTGAAAAATAAAATTAAGGAAACACGACGAAAATCAGCTTGATGAGTAAGTATTTAAAATATTGAGTAAAAGTTAAATGTGCACTATGTAACTTTTCTGGTACAGGGTCCATGTTAGTGTTTTTTTCTTGGAATATTCTACCTACAGTATGACATTTAATTTAACTATCTCCATGGAGACAAACAGGCCACATCACTAGGCAAAGTTAGAGGTCTGATCTGTGGAGAAGTGGGTCCTCTCACAGTCAGAAAGCAAATCTTTGTGGTAGTTTTGAGAAATAAAAACACCTGTAAATGAATAAATACAAGATACACTACTGGTCAAAAGTTTTAGAACACCAAATTTTTTCCAGTTTTTTACTGTTTACTGTTGATCAAAACATATTCTAAACTTTTGATTCATGAAAGTGTCCATCTTTGGCAGATATAAAAGCTGAACACACTCGTGGCTCGTTCTTTTTACAACAGAAATCAAATATTTTTCAGAAAGTTTTTCCCAAGTCTGTTGCAGAAGTTCCCATAAATGTGTGGCACTTGTAGGTTTCTTGACTTTTACTTTTCTGTCCAGTTCATCCCAAAACCAGCTCGATGGGGTTTAAGTCTGGAGACTGTGCTGCTGAACTCGCCATGTTTTCAAGCTTTACCATCTTGTTCTTTTTTCCTGATGTAGTTTTGGCAGAGCTTTGTATCTTGTATCATTTTGTTTTTTACCTCTGTCCGTTCAGTTTTTACCTTTGTACCATTTCAAGCTCTTCATTGGACTTGCACGACTTGAATTGCAATAAATAACTGGAAAGATTAGGGTGTTCTAAAGGTTTTGACAAGCAGATGGCAGACCCTCTACCAGGAAAGTTAAGAAGTGCACCTAGATTTTGTCGCACCATTGTAAACGAGAGAGTAAAAAAGTACCTTGATGCTGCCTCGATGTGTTGCAGTTGTTCTGGGAAGGTGAGGAGAGCTGCATCCACCTTCTGTGCTTGCTGTAAATAAAAGACAACAAAAAAGAAAAGGTTTAAAGGGCCCATATTACACTGTTTTCTGATCTATGTTATAATTAGTGCTGTTATGCGATAAAAAAAATTGAGAGATTAATTAATTATGATCTGTAATTAATTAATCTAATTAATCTCATTTTAATCTCACCTAAAAATTGCTGAGAAAAGCTTCAATTTGAGGTATTTTCATTTAAATTCATTATTACATTATTGTGGCAGATCAAAAGACTGATATAGAACAAAAAAAAGTGACTTTATAAAGTCATTTATTGTTTAACAAATCTCTTCAATTTGGCTGTTGAGCCCAAGTCTCCATGAATAAGAAACTGTTTGCTGTAAAGTAGCAAAGACGAGGAAATCTGAACATAATAACTTTTGTCTACTTAAAGACAATAAAAAGTCCAGTCTTTCCTTAACCATATTAAAAATATTATTGATAGAGAAATGCTTTATATATGAGATCACTGGTTTTAGTCCTGTTTAGTCCTGGTTTACCTGTCCTTTAGTTTTTAGTCCTGGTTTAGACTGGTTTAGTCCTGGTTTAGACCTGGTTTTAGTTCTGGTTTAGACCTGGTTTAGTCCTGGTTTTAGTTCTGGTTTTAGTCCTGGTTTAGTCCTGGTTTAGACCTGGTTTTAGTTCTGGTTTAGACCTGGTTTAGTCCTGGACTGGATTAGTCCTGGTTTTAGTCTTGGTGTTAGTTCTGGTTTAGAGGCTCACAGGAGGAAGCGCGGTTTACGCAGCGTAGCGAGAAAACACGATCCACACGCGGCTCACGGGAGGACAGCGGTGTCCGAGCAGTGTCTACGGAAGGAAACGTGGTCCGCGCGTTCTCAGGTTGATGACGATGATGAAGGTGTGTGTTTGTGTGTGTTTGTTGTTTGTGTTTGTGTGTGTTTGTGTGCGTGTCCCCTCATGTGGCAGGTCACTATAGGACAGTAGTGCAGACATCATGAGCCTATGCAGGTTGTTTTCAGGCGATTTTATATTTGTTATTTTCTTTTATATTTCACGTCGGGAGAATAATTTCCAAGACACGAATGCGTTTTACCTGTGCACTGCTGCCTCTGTTCTACTGGCTACTGGACGTTTACATCGCTCTTACTGCGCGCGTTTTGTGTGGGTTTCCGACAATGAGTGGAATTACCGAAATAAAAAAATGTATAAATGTGTTTTTTTTGTGTGTGTGTTGTTGTCCCAACATTCACACATGTTTAACACACACAACCTGCATATTTAGGCTGAGTTCTTCTCTGTTCCACCTTGTGATGTCATGAACAAACTCCTTACACCTTCACTAGATTGTATATTCGAAGTTACTTATTAATTAACAAAAATACCTTCACGAGAATCATTTGGATAATATGTTCTATTCACGGTTACGTCACAAACCGGGAAAACGTTTGGAAACACGAGACGGCAACTTCTGGTGTAGTTCTCGACGCTGGACTCGCCGAATCATCCTGAATTTGGTGCCTCATCTTGTCTAATCACATGTTCCCAGTGCGCTCGGAGTTGTGCGTCAGTGTGGAAATGATGAAAACTGAGGTGTGGTTGTAATTATTGATCAGCCGAACATAAAGGAACGCTACAATGACATGTAAATGAAGAAAACTGGGATATTTTCTCATTTTTCCTAGATTTTGTCAGACTTACTACCGCAAATAGATCCAGCTGGACGTAGTAATCGCGTCTTTCCAAACGTCTTCCCGGTTTGTGACATAAATGTGAATAGAGCCTATTTCACTCAAGGAACTACACTGCATCACAAGGTTATGTATTTTGTATTTTATGTATTTTCTATGTTATAATGTTTTCTCATCACAAACAAACCTGGAGTTGTGTTTTGTTTCATTCATATTTAACACAAAAACCCTGGACAAAAAGTGCTTTTTAAGTTGAATAATCTGGTTAATTTCAGTCCTGGGATTGCCAATCTTTGCTTAAACAAAACATTAAAACAAAGCAAAACAGAGCATTTTGAGCTTTGGAGATGTAGACAGACTAATAATAAAGGATTACTCAAACATGTGAAAGAAACAAAACACAACTCCTGGTATGTTTTGATGAAGAAACAACATTACAACATACCTTAAACCTCACGGGAGTAAATTTTGCGCAATACAGGACCTTTAAGGAGAGGCAAAGCCCACTCAGAGTAAGAATATTATGTATACGCATGTTTTCGAAGTATATTTAAAAAAAATACTAGTAAATAATTATAAAAAAAAACCAAGATACAAGATATTCTAAGCAAAAACATGTAGTTAATGGAAAAGTTACACAGTGCACCTCTGACAATCACAGTTAAACTAAATACTCATTGATAATAGCTCAGAGAAAAGTAGTTACCATGACAACATAGTGCATGAGGTTCATCCCTGGTTTGTTGGCCTTGGTGTCCACAAGTTTCAGCAGAGACGCCATCCGGAAACCAATGGCACTTCCAGCGTAGCCTCCCTAAAGTCAACATATTTTTAGTTATGATGGAAAATAAAGCTTTAAAAACTTGAACTATTTGACTTACGGCGTTCATGTAATTCCCCGTCTTCAGCACCAGTCGAATAACAGAGTGGAGCTGGTCGGAGTCTAACAGCTCTGAAAACATACGGACAGAGAGTTAGAAATGTAAAAAAAAAATGGTCATGGTTCATGTTTTGTAGTGGCTGTTTTTGCTTATTTTCGTGTATCTTTTTCCTTTAGTGTTGCGTGGCCATGGTGTTTTATTTTGACATTTGTCCTGTCGGCTTCTAGTTTTGAGTTTTACTTCCTGTCTTGAGTGTTTACCCTGCCTTAATTTGTGTTTCATCTGTGTCTGTGCGCATTTAGGCTACGTTTATATGATGACGGTCTGAACAGAAGACGCAAAGTCACCTTTTTATTCCGCGTTTAGATGAGTGTTTTCAGGAGGAAATCTGCGTGTATACAGTGACGCAAAAGTGTGTGGAATTCGATTGGGTTTGTTTGTACTTAAAGCAACAAGGGCGTCTTTGGACATACGGAAGTTTTCACGCCACGCATTTTCATCGGCTACTCCGTCCACAAAGTTGTTCCACCATCGACTGGTTCTCCAGGTCTCGTCCATAACCGTCTGACTCGACGAACTGGTGCCTCCAGAATTTGACAGAGGTGATTGCAGATCCTTCTCTGTTCACTAATAGTATCTCTCCAGATTCTGTACATTTGTTGGGAGCCTCCTGTAAGTTTATTAGAGCTGCCAGAGCAGATTGAAGGTCCAACGCACGGAAATGATCCGACATGTTTGTTTCTGTGTACTGTATGTTTGTGACGTAAACATGTACGCGACCGACGTGAGCAGATCTGACCAGAGTTTTGCGTCTTGGGCAGTGTAGACGGAAACGCTACGGCGAAGCGTATTCAACTTTTCCACTCTGATTTTTGCATTTTTAAGGCCCCAGGCCTTAGTTCTAAATTTCTGCAAGTTCTCTTTCCTGCTGCACAAGCCTGGTCTGTGATTGGTGGAGCAAGTCGCCCACTCACCTGCAGCCACCTCCCCCTAGGAGGCCAGCACCTGTTCGGGGCTGCTGGCCTTGGTGGCCAGTCTGCCATTTTGGTTTTGTGTTTGTGTGTTAGTTCTGTTTTGTGCCTTTTTGATTTGGTCATCGATTCTGTTTGTGGGTTTATGTGGTTTAATTTGGGGAACTTGTGTTTTAGTTTAGTGTGTGTCTAAGTTTTACCACTCGTTTTTGTGTAAGCCTGCGTGACCCCTTTTCTGGCAAAAACTCTGTTTATTCTGTTGTTCTGTTTCTTAGTTTAGGTTGTTTTCTGTATATTTTTAGTGTTTTGTTAATTTACCTTTACATTCCTGTTAATTAAACAACTTAATTTATTCCATTTTACATCTTGTTTTATTTTTGTTACTTCCCTCAGATTTAACAAGCCTCAAAAACGCCGTCGCCGTCTAAAGGAAAGGCACTTCCAATAAAATATTCTGTTGTTTTTATCCGCAAGCGTTCTCGTGTAAGCAGACCCTCAGTTTAGTTTAGATTTTTGGATTTATGGTTCTTTTTTTAACTTCAACTGCAGTCCTGTATTTTGGGTCCTCCCTCTGTTTTTTCATGACAAAGATACAATTCAGTAATATGTTTATCCTCATTAAAAGGACCTATATTACACAAAATGGAGTCTCATGAGCTTTTAGTCATGTTAGAATGTGGTTACCTCCTCAAAAACATGCTTGAAGTTGTGTTTTGTTTCATTCACCTTTTATACCTTTTATTTTTTATTAGTCTGTCTACATCTCCCAAGCTCAAAATGCTCTATTTTGCTTTGTTTTAACGTTTTGTTTAAGTAAAGATTGGCAATCCCAGGACTGAAATTAACCAAATTATTCTAGTGAAAGTGTATGGAGTTTAAAAACGCAGTCGAGCACTTCCTGTCCAGGGTTTTTATGTTAAATATGAATGAAAAAAAAAAAACACAACTCCAGGTCTGTTTGTGACGAGGAAACAACATTATAACATAGATAAAATTGTTTAATATGGTCCCCTTTAAAGAAACACGATGTAACTTTTCTGGTGGAGGGTCTGCTTGCTTTGTCTGGATGTTCCACAGTATTGCATTAACGAGCAGATGAGCACCATGTCAAGTCACGGGTCAGATCTGTGGAGCGGTGACCCCACTCACGGTCAGAATGTATTACTATATTTCAATACGTTTTAGCGATAAACCGCCTGTGATTGAACAAATGGGTGATAAATATATTTAATGTCATACTGTGGAACATTCCAGACAAAGCAATAGTGACTCTCCACCAGAAAAGTGACACAGTGCGGCTTTAAATAAACACATAGCAGCATTACCTTTTCCTGCAGTTATCAAAGTGCCGACGAAGCCTTTGAGTTCATCCATGAGCGGGAAAAACTCTTCTTTGAGCACCAGGCTGTTCAGACAGTCCTCGTAACTGAAAAATAAAACGTTTTCTATTATTACGACATTTATTTCTGTATTTCACAAAATTAGATTTACATAAAATTACGTTAAAGGTGCATTGTGTAACTTTTCTAGTGGAAGGTCCGTCAAATGCTTTTTCTCCGCTCACTTCCCCTTTAGTCAAAGTTTCATTGTTTTGTTTTATAAATATAATTTTTGAGCTATAAATGTTCTAAGCACACCCGTAATAGCTTGCGCCCAAATGAACAGGTAAATACACGTCTGAATAATTTATGAAAATAGTAGATTCCCGTTTAATGTAGGCGTGATAATTCTGTCAGGCAGCATAAGGAATGTAAGGTAGAGCCGTTTAATGTCAGGCAAAGCGATAACATCTCCATGGAAACAAGCAGGTAGCGGACACTCCACGAGAAAAGTTACGCAGTGCACCTTTTAAAACGAGCTCTCACACCGGCTTCTGTCATGTAAATAAATAATAAAAGAGCCAGACTTTTGAACGGCTCTTTGACGTGAACTGAACCAAAAGATTCGGACCTGATAAAAGAGCCGAAACTTGTAAAAGGGGCGACTGATTTCATTTACCTGGGGATCTTGATCAGCATTAGCATGAACAAATCTGCATCCGGGAGAGAGAAGTGGTCTCCTTTAAAATTCTTCAGCTGCTTCAACTGCAACAAGAGGGAAATATAAATGAAAAATTAATATAGTTACGATGAGTGGTAAGCACAGAACCATAAAAAAAAGTCTGAAGATGAACCCAAGATGGCGTCGTATTGTTTTCAGTGGCCTGTGCTCCATAGACTGTAGATTCGCTGCAGTGAGCATGACCACAGTTTGGCTCCATTGACTCTTGGCTCTAGTTTACTTTCTACTGGAAAACTGTTGTACCTCTTTCTGTAACTGCTGCCTGGCCCTGGCGTTTTGGTCTTAAAATGTTCATATTACATGATCACTCTACATGAGGGGTTTTTATTTCCCTGTTTTTTCCGTAAATCAAGATGTGAACATAAAAAAATCGACAAATCAGGTGTGTTCCTTCCCCACTAGTGTTACTAACAAATTTAATTGCTCCCATTCCTTGTTGGAATTCCAAATTCTATAACTGCAAGCCTCGATGAGCTTCATTTGACTGCAGCTGTGATGTGACGTCACACTTCCTTAGTCCACCTCTTTATACAGTCTGTGGCAGGGGAGTCAAACTCAAATTCACAGAGGACCAAAATTTTAAAAAGTCGTGGGCCAAACTAAACATTTTTTGAAAAATTTCAACAACATCTGCATGTTTTCTCTTCTTGTAATATGTATGCATATAATATGTATATGTTAAACCTTTTCTTATTAAAATAAATGTTCAATAATAGTTTTGCTTAAACACTGAATACAGAAAAAGCAGAATATAAAATAATAACCACATTTTAAATAAATAATGTCTCTATAGTCTATCTGTAGCCGGCGGGCAGCTCTTATACACAATTGATATGATCTTGCGGGCCAAATATAATTATATCGCGGGCCAAATTTGGCCACCGGGCCTGAGTTTGACATGTCTGGTCTATGGTGATTACATAAAAATGACAAAAATCTCCTCACTTTTGCAAAGAAACTGAACAAACGAGATTCAAAATATCATATATCATAAGTCAAGCAATTACCGTGACAGGCCTAATGATCGGAAAGTTATTTTTAATTTAAATCCCCATTGAACTCTTATTAAAGGTGCACTGTATAACTTTTTCTGGTTTTCTGCTTTTCTTCGTGGCATTAAACCTTTCTATCTTCATGGAGACTAAACCAAGCCAAGTTACAGGTCAAATCTGTGGAGAGGCGATCCCGTATTTTTGAGCAATAAAACCACCTGTAATTGAATAAATGTAAGGTAGATCTGTTTAAACAAGAATGTGACGCACCCACAACCGAGAAGTTACACAGTGCAGATTTAACTCTTTCCCCCTTGGACGCCGACTAGGAACAACCCATACATATATGACTAGTGCTACCCATAGAGCACAACTGCATAAAAGAAATTGGACTTCCACAAGTGATTATAAATACACCTGTGTGTACCCAATTAGTTTTACTCATTTAACTTACTATAATATAATAATATAGTAATAAAACTCTTTCCTGTCAGTGGGTGTCCAGTATTTGTTATCTTGGCTACTTTCTTGTGCGTAGAGTTCTGCATAAGTGTTTGTTTCTGTGGCATTTCTGTCATACATCGCACCTTGGAAAAAAAAGACTAATATTTCAACAGACTAGCCTGAGAAACATCCAGATTTCGGGGCAATTTTGGTCCATAATCGAGTATAAAGTCCCCGATGGTTTGTTCGGATATCGCAGGACTCCGCACAGACGCATCAGCGGCGTTCTCACCTTCGTAAGTTTCACTCTCCGAAAGTCCGTCGTTATCGCTGTTTTCAACTTTATAATCAACTTCATCATCACTTTGAAATCTATAAAAGTCACTTTCTCTATACTTATCCATAAAATACGTCCCCTCCTGATTATTTCTCAAACTGTGCACCACGATCTCTCCATTGCACGTGTTTGGTGTTGTGTGTTTTCCGGAAGCTACAATTCATAAACTTTGGAAAAAAATCGTCGAAAACTTGTCCTTGAATCCTATTGGTCAGCTTAGTGTGGGTTGTAGTGTCCCCCGCCTTTTGCATCCTCTGTTTACACGTGAAAAACAGGAGCCCTTTCTAATGGTCGTCAAATCACGTCTTCATGGGGGAAAGAGTTAATAAGCTTTGAGATCAGATATAGTTTGAGTCTGAGTATAGTTTATAGTAAACAGATCAGGTTCAACCACTCAAATCCGTTTTATCAGTGAACAAGTAGGAAGAAAAAAATCAAAACAGTTACCTCATCTTTATCTGGCAGCATCTTGCACAGCTCTCTCAGTTTCCCAGTCCCAAAACTCAGGTAATTCCCCACTTTAATATCCTCGATCATGTCTCGAACAGGCCTGCAGAGAAATGACAATGACAGCAATAGATCAGTCACAATCAGTCACCGTGTTTATGTTTTCTTATGAGCCAATACGTAATGATTAGTTTATGTTTTGAGTTTACGAGCTGTTCTTAAATGTCTCATAAGTCTCTGTGTGTCTGTGTGTGCAAGCCCGTGCCTGCTCACATACTTGTGCGAGGAGCAGAGGTAACACCGAGGAACCACTGATTTGTGTTTCTGAAATGGAAAGGCTGGACTCGACGGCTCGGTTGAATAATAATGGTTGTGTTATGTGGCTGTTACTGTGGTTAGGTCCCACACCCAGGGCCCAGGACAAATGTCAAAGAGAAGAGCTCCAAGATTTCCATTCCTCGGGTTATGAACAATTATGAGTCATTATATTACTGCTTTTAATAGATGCTTGCTTGTAGTTTTACATTTTTGTTCAAATTTAAAGACTTATGACTAGTTTCTGATTGGGTTTTATGGTATATTTTTCATATAAGTAGATGAAATACAGTTAATTTATTATATTATATTAGATAAATGTATTTTTGCAACTATTTCACAACAGCACTAACTCGCTTATTAACTGTAAAATATTTGTTAAAAGAATTAATGAAATGAAATGAATTAAAGACGACCTGATCAAAATCAACTTCAAAGAGCTTTCAACCAGGCTGTAATTATTTCCTCTCACGATTTACCCACCCAGTGAGTGACTGGGTGAGGCTACTTCGTCATTTCAGTGCAAATAGAAAGAAATCTGCTGCCTGCAAGTGCGATGTGCAGTTACCCACAGGAGGGTCCAACAACTACACAGAGTTTTCTGAAGTAAAGTCAGAACTTTTATGTCTTTCTTTTATTACGTCGTTTTAGATTTATATAGAGAGATTTAAAATTTGCTAATTATAATTTAAAGACCCAGTCATTGAGTCATTGATAATAATTATAAAGCAGTCACAAGCACAAAAGGTCTTATTTAAAGTAAGGGGGTGCCAATTAACCAGGCTGGCACCACCTAGTGCCTCTGCTCAATTTCATTTCTCTCCAGCGACTAGGTCAGGAATCAGAATACACTAGACCAGGCATGTCCAAACTATGGCCCGTGGGCCAAATATGGCCCTCAAAGAAATTTTTCTTGGCCCTCAGGCTTCCAGGTGAATTGGCCCAAATTACCTTGTATCAATTAAAAATTAACTTTTTACTGCAAGTTTTTTTTGTTTTAGATATGTGGCCCTTGATGAAAAAAGTTTGGACACCCCTGCACTAGACGGTTTGCAAGAACCATGGAAGTTGTAGACCATGCACCGGACAATCAGCGAAAAGCTGTGAAGCCATGACGTCAAACTCAAGCGCCTGTCTGGGTCTCATTTGTAGTACAACACAACAGTAAACAAAGCAGTCGAGATGGATGTAGACCAGGCATGTCCAAACTATGGCACGTGGGCCAAATGCAGCCCTCAGACAAATTTATCTTGGCCCTCAGGCTTCCAGGAAAATTGTGCAAATGATCTTGCATCAATTAAAAATTAACTTTTTACTGCAAGTTTTTGAAAATCTACCTTGATAAAGCGAATATTTAATATTTAGTGTGTGGTTTTAAGGATCTTAGCATGAATAAAGACTGATGGGTCATTCTAACGTGTTAAACTTGGACATATTTCAATTATTCACTGTACTGAGCACCAGTCTATGGCCCTCAACCAGCTCTCTGCTTCATCTGTGTTTAGATATGTTGCCCTTGATGAAAAAAGTTTGGACACCCCTGATGTAGACGAAGACAGACATTCTGTGTTGGCAACGATTCTTGAGATCGAGGATTTAAAGCCGAAACAAAGAGAATGTCTGGTGAATTTTATCAAGGGAAAAGACGTTATTGCCCTTCTTCCTACGGGATTTGGCGCATTACATACGTCACGACCAAATAGCAGCGATTGGTTAAATAAAAACAGTACCCGCCTACTGCTGAACGAACGAATCCTAATGCTGCGAGGTCAGACGGTTTCCACGAGGTGAAACCGGCTGATGAAGCAGGCTAGGTCCCATTACTCCTGGCCAAAGGAACAACAACCTCCTACAGCCCAAATAAGAACCAGGACACATGTTTGACTAATATTTTTCAGTGCAAGTACAACATCAAACTGGAGCTGGAGGGACGGCGCTACCAAAATTCAAAATTAAGAGAGCAAATATGAGTGATTAGCCAAACTCAGACCATCCCTAAAATGTACTCTTTTGGTGCATCAGAAACTCAGCGCCACAGAATAAACCATTAATCTAATAATCTCCGTGTGTCATCATAAACGCAGCTCCTGTACGATGAGTCCTTAACTGTCAGCCCCGCGTTGTGTAAGAAATTTCACTCCGCAAGACGATTCATAAATTTCATCTCTTCACTGCGTCATAGTGTTTGGAAGGCTTGCGTGTTTTTTTCCTGTGACACACGGCAACGAGCCCCAGGCCGCACATTCACTGTACAAAACATTCCACAGATCTGGTTGGGCTGACACAACTGTAGCGGTGTAGCTGTTACCGTGGAGACGTGGGCCTGTACACACACGCGCCGTCGAGGGAGTGTTTCTATGAACTGTAAAAAGTGAAGTGAATCTACTAAACTTCAAATCAGATGAATTCAGAATGTTTGTCTTGATTTAGATTTATTTTTAGTCTACACTATACACTGCAAAAAACCCAAAATCTAGACTCGAATTAAGAAATTAAGAGTAAATTTCACTTGACAAGTAAAATGATCTGCCAGTGGAACAAAACCTTTTGTCGTTAAAATATAAAAATGCATCTTGCTGCACTTAAAATAAGAAAAACAACAACTTTTTGCACTTAAAATGAGAAACAAAATCTAATGTTGCTCTTATTCCATTGGTAGATAATTTTACTTGTCAAGTTAAATCGACTCAATTTAAGTAAAATGTTCTTAATTTAAGTCATTTTAATTTAACTAGATTGTTTTTTTCCAGTGTAAGACTTGTTGTTGTTGCTGATGTGTTTTAGACATTTTTTCTGAGCAAAAATATCTATCCAAGAAGTTTATCTTAACTTAAACCAGAGCTTTTTCTATGGACAGATAATTTAACTGCTTAAAGAAAAAGCAAAATTTGAGTTTTGTTGAGCTTTCTACCATGTTATAACTAGTGCTGTCATGCGATTAAAAAAATTGATAGATTAATTAATTATGATCTGTAATTAATTAATCTAATTAATCTCTAATTTTAATCTCATCTAAAAATTGCTGAGAAAAGCCTTCAATTTGAGGTATTTTCATTTAAATTCATTATTACATTATTGTGGCAGATCAAAAGACTGATATAGAACAAAAAAAAAGTGACTTTATAAAGTCATTTATTGTTTAACAAATCTCTCCAAATTGTCTGTTGAGCCCAAGTCTCCATGAATAAGAAACTGTTTGCTGTAAAGCAGCAAAGACTAGGAAATCTGAACATAATAACTTTTGTCTACTTAAAGACAATAAAAAGTCCAGTCTTTCCTTAACCATATTAAAAATATTATTGATAGAGAAATGCTTTATATATGAGATCACTGGTTTTAGTCCTTGTTTTAGTCCTGGTTTAGACCTGCTTTAGTCCTACTTTAGTCTTAGTTTAGTCCTGGAATGGATTAATCCTGGTTTTAGTCCTGGTGTTAGTTCTGGTTTAGTCCAGGTTTAGACCTGGTTTAGTCCTGGTTTCGTCCTGGTTTTAGTTCTGGTTTAGTCCTGGTTTAGACCTGGTTTAGTCCTGGTTTAGACCTGGTTTTAGTTCTGGTTTAGACCTGGTTTAGTTCTGGTTTAGTCCTGGTTTAGACCTGGTTTTAGTTCTGGTTTAGACCTGGTTTAGTTCTGGTTTAGACCTGGTTTTAGTTCTGGTTTTAGTTCTGGTTTAGTTCTGGTTTAGTCCTGGTTTAGTCCTGGACTGGATTAGTCCTGGTTTTAGTCTTGGTGTTAGTTCTGGTTTAGAGGCTCACAGGAGGAAGCGCGGTTTACGCCGCGTACGCGAGAAAACACGATCCACACGCGGCTCACGGGAGCACGTCGGTGTCCGTGCAGTGTCTACGGAAGGAAACGTGGTCCGCGCTTTCTCAGGTTGATGACGATGATGAAGGTGTGTGTTTTGTGTGTGTTTGTGTGTGTTTTGTGTTTGTGTGTGTTTTGTGTGTGTGTGTTTGTGTTTGTGTGTGTTTGTGTGTGTTTGTGTGCGTGTCCCCTCATGTGGCAGGTCACTATAGGACAGTAGTGCAGACATCATGAGTCTATGAAGGTTGTTTTCACCAGTGACATTTAAGTTGTAGGCGATATTATATTTGTTATTTTCTTTTATATTGTACGTCGGGAGAATAATTTCCAAGACACGAATGTGTTTTTACCTGTGCGCTGCTGCCTCTGTTCTACTGGCTCTTCCACCTTGTCCATTGTGCCTGACGCCGCCAACGTTACTATAACGTTTACATCGCTCTTACTGCGCGCGTTTTGTGTGGGTTTCCGGCAATGAGTGGAATTACCGAAATAAAAAAATGTATAAATGTGTTTTTGTGTGTGTGTGTTGTTGCCCCAGCAACGCATAAAAACAGATTTTATAATAAAGCAACTCGCATACAGAAACAGTAAAGTTAGAGATTAAAAATGAGATTAACGCGATTAAAAAACATAGCGCGCTAAATATGACTGTAATTAATTAATCGCAATTAACGCGATAATTTGACACCCCTAGTTATAACCAAACAATTCTCCATAAATATACAAAACTGAAACAACAACAACAAACCTGATGCAATGTCCAGTATAGTTTCATAGTGCTCTGAACGGGGAGTGACATAGTGTGGAGAGCGTCTTAAGAGCGTCAAAAATAAAAGTAAAGCTTATAAAACATGTTAATCCATTGTTATTTGGTGATGTCTAGCATTTTCAAAACAATAAAAGGTAACATCTAAATATTTTTAATACCCCATGTAAGTAAAATACCCCGTCTTTAAACAACTACTCAAAAAAAAAAAAAAAATCTGAAATGTTCGTCAAATTTACTTTATCTTGATAATTTCAAAAGCGGTCAGTTGATTCCCTGTTTATTCCTTTAAACTGCCACATCTTCTGCTCAATCCCAAAAATTCCTAACTTTCTGAAATTTTGCAACCCCGATCACAACGTATGCTCTGAAGGGGGAGTGACAGAGCGTGGAGAGCACTTAAGAGAGTCAAAAATAAAAGTAAAGCTTATAAACCATGTTAATCCATTGTTATTTGGTGATGTCTAGCATTTTCAAAACAATAAAAGGTCACAGCTAAATATAATTGTTAATATGCCACATAAGTAAAATACCCCGTCTTTAAACAACTAGTAAAAAAAAAAAAAAAATACTCAAAACCGGGCTTGAAAATGAAAAATTCAGAAATGATACTCAAATTTACTTTAGCTAATTCCCTGTTTATTTATTTTAATTGCCATATCCTCTGCTCAAGCACAAAAATTCTTAAAAAACAACAACAAAAAAACAAACAAAAAAACAACAACAAAAAAACACTCAAAAATTCTTTAAAAAAAAAACTACTCAAAACTAAGCCTGTAAATAAAAAAATCAGAAATGTTTCTCAAATTTATAATTCACAGTTTATTCCTTTTAATTATCATATCTTCTGCTCAAGCAAAAAAAAATCCTAAAAAAACCTAAAAAACTACTGAAAACTAGGCCTGAAAATGAAAAATTCAGAAATGATCCTCAAATTTACTTTAGCTAATTCCCTGTTTATTCCTTTTAATTGCCATATCTTCTGTTCAATCACAAAAATTCCTAAAAAACTAGGCCTGAAATTGAAAATATTCAGCTCAAGCACAAAAATTCCTAAAAAAACCTGAAAAACTACTCTAAACTCAAAAATTCAAAAAAAAAAAAAAAAAAAAAATCAAAAATTCCTAAAAAACTACTCAAAACTCAAAAATTCCTTAAAAAAAAAAAAAAAAAAAAAAAACTACTCAAAAATTCCTAAAAAAACTACTCAAAACTAAAAAAATTCCTAAAGAAAAAAAAACCCTACTCAAAACTAGGCCTGAAAATGAAAAATTCAGAAATGTTTTTCCTAAATTTACTTTAGATAATTCCCAGTTTATTCATTTTAACTGCCATATCTTCTGCTCAATCCCAAAAATTCCCAACTTTCTGACATTTTGCAACCCCGATGACAGCGTATATGTTCTGGATTCCTGTGCGGTGCAGGTTTTACAGTGCGGTGATCAGACCTGAATGGGGAGTATTACAAACTCGTGGATCCGCCTCTTCTCTCCCGTTTATCCTATTGTTGTCTCTGAACAGATCATGGAGGGAAACCAGGAGCTTACCGGACCAAGCCCTCACGCCTCCGGCCCCGTGACTCACCTTTTGAACTGCTTCAGGAAGATTCCAACGTTCATGCTTCTCTTGGAGGTCAGGATGGACACCTGTGGAGCAAAAAGTGGAGACGTTACAAGGATTGTTATGGGTAAATGCGCTCGATAAACAAGTTCAACAGTTTCAAAAGCCCATATCTATTTTCTGATCTATTTATTATAATGTTGTTTCCTCATCACAAACACACCTGGAGTTGTGTTTGTTCATTCACACACGTTCAACGCACAAATCCTGCAGAGTTAGGAGTTCTTCTCTCAAAATGAAAACACTACAGACCAGAGGTGGAGACTTGCAAGTAGCGACTTTGACTCGAGTCAGACTTGAGACACTATTTTTAGGACCTTGAGACTTGACTTGATAAAATAGACTAAGACTTGGGACTCGACTTGGACTTGAAGGTCAGTGACTTGGGACTTGAGGCCTGTGATTTGAGAAGAATTGAGAAGCACTTTTAAATCTGAATTCTTTCTATTCTGACCGTAATGATTCACACTAAGATCTTGTCAAGACATTTAAAAAACAAAAATGTGCATTTCTACAACTCTTACATACTCTGTAAATACTCACATATAAATATACTATGATTTTTAAAGTATAATTTAGTTTAAAAGTCACATAAATTGCAAAAACCTAAGCTATGTTTGGTATTTTGGTTTAAAAACTTGAAATGACTTGAAGCTCAAAGCAGACGACTTGGACTTGACTTGGACTTGACTTGGACTTATGGGCCAGTGACTCGAGACTCGACTTGGACTTGCCTGTATTTGACTTGGGACTTGACTCGGACTTGAGGTCAAAGACTTGAGACTTGCAAAACAACAACTTGGTCCCACCTCTGCTACAGACAATACATGAAGTGCTCCACTGTGTTTTTAAACTCCACACACCTTCACTAGAATCATCTGGATCATTTCAGTCCTGCAATTACCTATTCTTACTGAACTAAAAGATAAAAAGGAGCTGTTGACTTGAAAACTACCACTTCATCATGACATCACAAGGTGGAACAGAGCATTTTGAGCTTTGCAGATATAAACAGACTAATAATAAAGAATTACTCAAACGTGTGTGATTGAAACAAAACACAACTCCAGGTCTGTTTTTGAGGAGTGAACAACATTATAAATGTCTCAGAGATGCAATGAATATTAAACAACCGAATATATTTAGCCGAATATTGCAAAAAAGTCACATTTGAGTTTCGGTGGAGTGGGTTAAAAGTAAAAGAAAATAGTGACGTGTGAGGCAATGACACAATCTAACAACGTGCAGTGACACGGTGATCTTTAAAATGTCAGCAATGTGGAAATATTTTTATGGTGTTCTGCACTCACACTTGCACAACCAAACCGGGCCACGGTCGATGGCGTCACCACACGGCGCTGTAGTTCTATCGCTTTTATCAGAGAAACAATTAATCCAGAACATCCAGAACGCTGCAGCTCGGGTCCTTACTCGAACTAGGAAGTACGAGCACATAAGTCCTGTGCTCAGGTCTCTGCACTGGCTTCCTGTGGCTCAGAGACTTTAAAGCAGCTCTGCTTGTACAAGTCTCTCCATGGTCGAGCACCAAAGTCCATCTGTGACATGTTAGTGTCATATGAACCATCTCGCACTCTGAGGACCTCAGGGACCGGCCTCCTGCTGGTGCCCAGAGTCAGAACTAAACAAGGGGAGTCAGAGTTTCAGGTTCATGCAGCTAAAACCTGGAACAGTCTGAACATGTGAGACAGACTCTTCTGTGACGCTGTTTAAATCCAGGCTCAAAACATTTCTGTTTAACTGTGCATATGACTGAAAGGTTTTCATTCCGCACTCTTCTCTCCAATTTATGTCTCTCTTTTTTTAAATTTTAATCTTCATGATTATTTATGTTTTGATTTGTTTTTATTATGATTTTAATGTATTTCTTATTCTGTAAAGCACTTTGAATTACTTTGTGTACGAATTGTGCTATACAAATAAACTTGCCTTGCCTTGCCTTAATCCAGCGGTATGAAATATCTGTTAACTAGTGAGGCGGATGTGCGTCCTCTTACGATACTCGCTCCTCCGTGAGTTTATGGATTTTAAAAGAGGCAGCTAAACTTCACAGTCTATTTTGAAGGTCAGCGTGGATTCCCTGTGTGTTTTAGATCGGACTTTATTCACAGTTTTAATCGTATGAGGGACGTCAGCGCACACACAGGGCTCATAGAGTAAACTTGTGTGTGTGCACGTACATGAGCTCCGTGCCGTGCTTTGGTCCACCTCCTCCAATCAGACCAAAGTCCCAACCGTGTCGTGCATGGACATGGTTCGATTGCGCTCACACTGGACAGATGTACCGGGCTCTACGGCCGATCTGTGCTTTGGGACGGTTCTAAAGTCCTAATGTGAGTGCACTCTTACGCCTTTTTGGAATTGTTGTTTTGTTTGAAGGCCCAGCCCAGGGGTGTCAAACTCAAATTCACACAGGGCCTAAATTAAAAACTGGGACTAAGTCGTGGGCCAAACTAAATATTTATTGAGAAATTTCAACACCATCTGCATGTTTTCTCTTCTTTCGAGATACGTAATGTTACACCTTTTCTTATTAAAATAAATGTTTAATAATAGTTTTGCTTAAACACCGAATCCAGAACAAGAAACATATAAAATAACAACACAATTTTAAACAAATAATGTCTCTGTAGTCTATCTGTAGCCGGCGGGCAGCTCTAATACATATTTGACATGATCTCGTGGGCCCGAGTCTGACATATCTGGTCTAGCCTCATATGAATGAAAAACTTACTGGTACTTTACTTACTTTCTTTTCAAAACATGTCTAAAAATGTATTCTAAACTATTTATGCAATATTTACAAAAATGTGAAAAATTTAACAACAGCATTTAATATTTGGTTTCCGTATTCAGCCAAGCTTTTAATTTTTATTCGGTTTTGGTCGCACATTTTCATTTCGGTGCATCCCTACTTAAAGGTTGTATAGAGGATTTTTTAAGGGAAGCGAAATACAGCGACCGTCCTTTTTCAAATGTTGTGCATGTGTGACACCACCTTCCTCAGTAGAAACATCTCCTCCTCCCGCCTCTTTACTCTAGAAATCACATTTGTTTACATCCAGTGCATGTTCAGAATCACTGTTGAAGTGACCTGCCTAGAAATATTTTAGCGACCGACGCGTCAGTTTTTAGACCCTTCGGACTTTCTTTCGCGGCGAACTGGTCGTGAACTTTGTGCGAATTGCAAGGAACCTACAGTTTGAAAAAGCCTCAAAGAACCGCCGCATAAACCACATAATCCCCGAGCGCCGACACTAAAAATGTAGGGAGTTTGACTGACAACCTAACAGCCAATAGAAAAAGAGGGAGCCTCGTTTTCTATTGGCTGATGTTTATCTGGCCTCACTACGTCCACAACCGATAGATTTTCATTCTTTCTTTTTTTTTAATCATAATTACAAGGCTGCTGCGTCTCTGTAATGGTATTTTAAACTTTCAATGACAATTTGAAACTAAAAAAAAATCCTCCATACAACCTTTAAAGCTCACAAGAGTCAATTTTGTGTAATATTGGACCTTTAATGCCTGGTGAACATTATCTTTCCGAAAAGCCAGCGCATAGAACTGATACTTCGCAGCTCATGTCAACAACACATCTCTGATAGGTGAAGCTAACTCCGTCTGAAGCTTCATTACTAAAGTTTAGACGTCCCTCTTTACCTGGAACAGTCCCAGTTTTACCAACACAAGTTACCAACAAACTAGTTAGCATTAGTCAACAGTTTCTCAGTTAGTTAGTCACTCTCACCTTTTTAGTTGAAAGTCAAAGTGAGTAATTTCCTTGCACATCGTTTCTGAAAGTGTCCAGATGACGAGTTCTGAAACCTGCTCTGTCCTGGATCGTTACCGGACCATGGAGGCATTACAAAGACTTATTCGCGTAAATTGCAACTACAATGTGTGTCAGATTTCAGTGGAATATCAATATTTGAGTAATCTTTATTCTCCTGTATTCGACGTCATTGTGCCGATCAACCCCCGTTTTTACCCTCACCAGGACACGGCCACTGCTCTGTACTTCATTTGTTCTCCAATTTTATGTTCTTAAACTGTGATGTACAGAGGTGTGCCTATTTTTGACCAATTTCATACCTGCCAACAGTAAAGAGAGGCATATATTGTCATTTGTTATACAAAAAATACAGAAAAACCTATTTGAAAATGATCAGAATACAAAGAAAATGTCAAAAAAGGCTCAGATTCCAAACTGATGCAAGAGACCTTTTTTGCAATGGCTGGAAGTGCCTCGCTGTAGTTTTGCAGGACTTCAGGCGTGGTATAGGATTTTGACCCCGCGGTGAGGTGATCCCAAAATACTATATGGTATGTTGACCCCCCCAATAGAAAATTTACGCCCCCTTATGAAAATCTATATTTTATTAACAAAGAACTTGATTACTATAGAAAAACTTTGAATATTAATACAATATCTGCAAATTAAAACATAATGACATATTTAAACGTGTTTTTTGAAGAACTCAGATGCATTTTTTTAATGTCGATTATAACTCTTTAATGTTAAAAATGACTTTATTTAACATATTTTACTGAAAATGAGATAAGTAGTTATTAATTAGTTAGATAATCAAAGTGATGTATAATGATTTGGAATCTTGTTAAAATAAACAGGGCTGATCAATTGAGTAGTTAAATACGGGATACCTGTGATTATAGTAATCTGACCCCCCAATATGTCTGTTATAGTTATTATGATGTAAAGTAAGAAGTAATGTTAGTTGAATATTGACAATGATCTATTATATATAAAAAAGGTCAAAATCCTATGGCTATAGGTGAGTTTCAGATGACGTCATTGTTATTAAAAGCCCGCGTTGCTGCTGGGAAATATTTTGGTCGGAGGCAAGAAACACGATAGCGTCAAACACAGTGCGTAACCTCGCGTATTTATCCCCATAATGGTAAATTCCTGCTGCATTATCGGATGCACAAATAGAAGCACGGAAGAAGGAAAATGTCTTTTTCGTATTCTGAGTGAAAAGAACCG